ACTTTTTAACGGACAGCGACCGCCACCTAAAACCTGCGGGAGGTTACTCAGGGTCATGACCTTAACAACATATGTTAAGGTCAAGGTCATCGGGGGTGGCTCCCCTTTTCTATACTTTTACCCTAACATTTATATTATCTACTATTATCAGTATTATCAATTAACATCTATCAATTAACATCTATAAATTAACATCTATCAATTAACAATCTATTAACATAATGTATTGCTACGCAACAAAGAATTGTAAATTCTAAAATAATTATTGTATTACTAACGATATCATGTATCAATGCTACTGATAGAATAAATAAATTATTGAGCATATAAAGAGTAAGGATTCACCATTGAGCAACATTATCGTGAGAAAAGTCCCGAACGTAGTGTAATGCGCTGCAGTGTGATTTTTGCACGTAACAGAAATGACAAAACCTGAAAGTGCATTAATACAAATGATCAGTTTAGTTTGCAGTTTCTGAATTGAATTAATTTCTACATTGTATCGCATGAAGTATCGTACCGTACATTAGTCCGCAAGAACCTGTCAGAAATGTAAGGACCATTACGACAAATATCGGTCCTTTACATTCTAGGCCCCATATGGCAAATATTAAAAGCATTATCATAACAGTATGGATAATGATGATGACGCTCTGAATAACAACGTGAGACAGTATAATTTCTGCTGTTGTGACACCTATCACATATTTATATTTTACATTTGCATTATTGTAATAAGAAATAAAGAGGAATAATTGAAAAAGGAATAATTGTAAAATATAATTTTAAACGCGACTATATCGGTATATTAGTAAATTACCTTGAACTACGCTTCGATCCCAGACACCCTCTAACTGCTCTGTAATTATTAAGCTGGTAGAAACTGTAGCGGCTAAAAAGAAACTAACTCTGCGAGGATATAAAAAAGTTTAGTAAGTGCTAAAAATTAAGTTCATTCATTTGACTTATTATTGTGTGTGGATTTATTTTCGCTTACCCTATTATGTTCGTTGGTGCTAAGTAATGTGCATAACTGAAATCGTTCGTACCGTAAATAGGTTCTTCAAACTGTATAAAAGAATAGAATTACATTCTTTTATTTCAGTTCTATGTAATAGAGAGAGAGGGGAGAGGAGAAAGAATGAGGGGGAGGGAGAGAGGGAGAGGGAGAGGGAAGGAATGACTTTACTAAAATATAAAAAGATTTAGTTAATTACAGACAGATCGGAAAATAATTTTGTTTGACCATTAAATTTTTTTAGATAAGGATCAGTTTGAATATCCTACCTAAAAATTTTGGTGATCTAACAGAATTACTTTTTACCTGTAACAGTATATATATAGGGTGTCAGAAAATAATCGCAAAATATTTTATGCGTGGGTAGAACAGACTATACTGAGTAGAAAAGTCCTGAGTAGAAAAACCATTTTGCGATTTCAGTAATAGTTAACGAGATATTAATTTTTAAATGAACTACCCACGCTCGAAAAATTTTGCGGTTATCCTGACATCCTCTATATATACAGGATGTTCCCTGTATAATTCATCTGACGAATATCGTGGACAGTTAGATCGGACTAAACTGAGACAGAAAGTTTTGTATTATTTTACAATTTTTGCAATAGTTAACGAGATATTAATGTTTAAAGATTACCGAATACGTGCGTCCACCCGGCCTACTATTGTCGAATATACGCATATTAGTAGCTCGACGTGCAAGCCGTGAGGAGCGATGATGGCCTGGCAACGCCAAGCAACCGAGTCATGACGTTTAAGTGGCTTTTGCGACGGTGTGCGCGGCGCGGGGCGTTTGTCAGGCAGATTCCATTCCCCGCGTTCTAAGCGAGTATCCGGTAATCTTTAAACATTAATATCTCGTTAACTATTGCGAAAATTGTAAAATGTTACAGGACTTTCCGTCTCAATTTAGTCCGCTCTACATGTCCACGATATTTATCAGGTGAATTTTGCAACACCCTGTATAGCAAAATTTTTGGAAATATTCAGCAAAATTATTTTCTCCGTGAAAAATTTAATAATTAATAATTAAAGAATATGCTTACTCGGATAGCGAGATCGGCCAATTTTGGTGAATATTTGCAGTCTCTCATGATATCCTCATAAACGTCTAAAAAACGATCGAATAATTTCTGCCGTATAAAAGATCCAATTGGCATATCTATAACAAAAGTAATGTAAATTTAAGTATTTACAATTTCACCAGTATATCGATTAATTTGTGTTACGTTTATGCTAAAATATTTATAACTTGCTGTGGTTTTTAATTTCTTGAACTCTTTTATATAATTTTTTTAATAATATATTTTATTTTTTTATACATATTATATATTAAATAATA